AAAAGGAAGAAATTTGCCAATCTGTACTTGAGGCTGCTCTAGAAAGTGCTAAAATCCCATCTACAGTGAATGATAAAGCCACGGAAAAGCTGGAAAAGAGAAGCTAAGTTTGTAGATTCATGAGCTGATGGTAACTGATTACAAAAATAAAAAAAAAAAAAATAGTGAGCAGCACTGTTGTGAGGCTGTGAACATTATCCTGAGTCAGAAAAATGTTAAACTCTGTTTTCAGCTAATGCTGTCTGACTCCCACATTTCATAAGGTGATACAGCATGAAAATGTTAAACTTGAAGGTGAGACAGGCTATGGAAGAGTTTTTTAAATACCTGCTAAATGTTTTATAGGAAAACGCATGTGTAAGACCAGGTTTTCAAAGCTGATGAGACTGGCTCATCTTATGAGGATGTTGGCAAACAACTATAAAGCACAAATGGTTTTTTAGTTGATGAAAATGTGTGAAGAAAGTCACAGGGGCCCAACCCTATATTCCCCATAGAAGCAATAACTTAATATTCTGTGTTCATAACAACCTTATAGAACTACTATGGATAATAAGAGTCAATGGTATATGTGTGTACAAACACATCCCTATATTAAGGGAAATGTTGATAATGTTAATTGTTTTATTTCTCTTCTCATTCTCATCTTATTCTCTATGAGTAGGTGTGAGAATCTAACTACTTCATTTTGGTAGCTATACTTGAACTTTAAATAGATCTTACCTAATAATAGACAAACATTTAAATTGACCATCCCTCTGCTATGCTCACCAGCCAATCAGGAGAGTATGCAAATTAACCCAACAAAGATGGCGGTTAATTTGCATATGTAGGTGTGAAGCAGCGGAGTGAAGATGGAACGCTCCAGGCCGGATCAAAGGCCTGGGTCCCAGGTGCCGTAAGAAAACCAGTGCCAGCAGCCAGGGGAAGGGAAGGCCTATTGCATGAATCTCTTTGTGCAATGGGCCTCTAGTATATAAATAAAGCTATGGAAAAGTTAGGAAAAAAACTAAATATATATCTTTCTATGTAGATATATTTATTTATATATTTGGATTTATATCTTGACATATATGAATATATGTATTTATATCCAGCTATATATGCAAATTTATTTTTATAAAAAGAAAGAATTTTCACATGCATCACTTTTTTTCATTCATATTAAAATTATATTTTATTAATTTTTAAAAATACACATGTAAAGTAGGTTTATTAAATATGAGTTTCACTATGAGATTATAAAGGGAACATTACAAAACACAATTTGGGTCTGGTGAGATTAAATACAGTAAGTTACATTACTCATACATTTAGAAGAGGACAGAAGCTCTAAATCATAATTAAAAAATTAAAATATGATTCTAGTGAGACAAATGGACCATAGAAAAAAATTATTTAATAAAAGATGATGGGACAGTAATCATTAAGAAATAACATATCTACATCAAAATAATTTTCATATAAAATTGATATACATATAAAATCTGATATAATTCAATAAAAATATTTTTAGCATATTTACTAGTATTGAAAGAGCAGAACTTCTAAATACCACACAAACTTTAAAATAAAACACAGTTTATATATAAAGTGTAATACTGTGCCAAAATAACCATAAATAAAGCTAAAATAAAAATGAAAAGACAGTTCCCAATTAGATTAAAAAGGCTACTGATAGATAGAGGGTTTTGAACCAATATTGGCAAGGGAGTAAGAGATTTGCACTGTTATGGTGGTGGTAGAGTAAATTGTCACAACTTTTCTGAAAATACAGTTGGTCATATACTCTAAATTTTTTATTTATCAATTTCACATTTAGGGGTATATATCAATTAAATCACTGAATGAGTCTATGCTACACACATTCACACACATATATACAGTTATGAGTATGTAAAACACAGAATATATTTTTGTAATATTATTATATATTAATTATTGTATTATTTATTTATATTACAACTGTAAACCTACTTTTGCCCCCCACACACATATATATATGTATCCTATCTAATAAAGAGGGAATATGCTAATTGAACCTCATGCCATCGCAAAGATGGAGGTGCTCACAGCCAATAAGGAGGGAATATGCTAATTGACTGCCCCAACCTCAAAGATGGCAGCGCCCAAAGCCAATAAAGAGGAAATATGCTACTTGACTGTCCCACCCTCAAAGATGGCAGCGCCCACAGCCAATAAGGAGGGAATATGCTAATTGACTGCCCCGACCTCAAAGATGGCAGCGCCCAAAGCCAATAAAGAGGAAATATGCTACTTGACTGTCCCACCTTCAAAGATGGCAGCGCCCACAGCAAATAAGGAGGGAATATGCTAATTGACTGCCCTGCTCTCAAAGACAGCAGCACCCACAGCCAATAAGGAGGGAATATGCTAATTGATTGCCACACCCTCAAATATAGTGGCACCTACAGCCACAAGATGGTAGTGCCCAGTTCTCTCAGCTGTGCACCTGCCTTTGGAGTCCCCCAGTCACCTCAGCCCCCAAGCTGCCCAGGCCTGGCCCGAGGCACAGGCAAGCCTTGGATGGTGGCTACCCAGTTACTCAGGGTCGGCCCTAGGTTCAGGCAACCAGGGCTGGCTGAGGCTTACGCTGCCAGCAGTGGCAGCAGCAGAGGTGTGATGGGGCATTGCCTTCCTCTGATCACTGGGTCATCTCCTGCCCCTGAGGGCTCCCGGACTGTGAGAGGAGGCAGGCCAGGCTGAGGGCCCCCCACCTCCTATGCATGGATTTTTATGCACCGGGCCTCTAGTATACTAGAGGCCCAGTGCACAAAATTCATGCATGGGGGGTGGTGTCCTTCAGTCCGGCCTGCACCCTCTCCAATGTGGTACCCCTTGGGGGATGTCTGACTGCCGGTTTAGGCCTGATCCCTCTGGCAGTTGGACAGCCCTCTCACAATCCGGGATCACTGGCTCCTAACCACTCGCTTGCCTACCTGCCTGATTGCCCCTAACCACTTCTGCTTGCCAGCCTGATCACCCCCTAACTGCTCCCCTGCTGGCCTGATGGCACCCAACTGCCCTCCCCTGCCAGCCTGGTTGCCCCCAACTGCCCTTTCCTGGCAGCCTGGTCACCCTGAACTTCCCTCCCCTGCAGGCCTGGTCCCCCCAACTTCCCTCCCCTGCAGGCTTGGTCCCTCCCTACTGCCCTCCCCTGACAGCATGGTTGCCTCTAACTGCCCTTCCCTGCTGGCCTGATCGCCCACAGCTGCCCTCCTCTGCTGACCATCTTGCAGTGGCCATCTTGTGATGACATCATGCTAGGGAGTCATGTGAGGGCATTGCACAAGGGCATGGCACCACCTAGGCTTTTATTATATAGGATATACATAATTTTCTTTGCCCACCCCTGTATGTATATATATATATATACACATATCTTATATAGTGAATTAGTGAATTATTAGAGGCCACTTAAATTTTAGCAATCAAGGAGTTACTGAAAAAATTTGTTGAAATTATTTTATTTAAAAAAAATTTGATAGGCAAAGTGATTGAAATCTTAGCTATTTAACAATAATAATAATAATAATAGAGGAGAAGGAGTCTAAATAACCATTTGAAATAGGTATTAAGATTTATTTACCATTACAATGGAAATTGAGAAAATAAATGTATGCAGTTATATAAGACTAGTTACCCTATCCCATATAATAAAAGCCCAACAACCAAACAGCAGAACAACCAGAACGACTGGGGCCCCTCATCCTAGTCAGTCCTGCCCCAGAGGGTGCCCCCCAACCCCGATTAGGGGCATGGCCGGCTGCCAAACCGCCTGTGGCCCCTCGACCCAGCCGGCCCTGCCCCTAGTTGGTCCCCAACATTCCTAAATCATTGCCTGGCTCCCTGGTGCATGTATATTTAATGAAAGCACAACAAAATAATTATCAGTCCCTTCTGTCCCCAACCAGAGTCTCCAGAGGGCTCTGCTAATACTGCAGCCAAGGTGTGGAATTCTCCTTCCATGGCTCGCAGCCCCAGGAGACCTTCCAAAGGTGACCTAAGCATTAATGGCATGGCAGCCCTTTGCTGAGGACATGTAGAGAGGTTGGGTGGGGATTTTGTGAAATTATTGTGCCTTGCAGATGAGGTGAACTTTCAATCTCTCTTATAAAGGGGCGGCGAAGAGGACCTGCAGGCTTCCAGTAGCAACAGCAAAGGGTAGGCACATTCAAAAACAGAAAAACTTTTAAACATACAGACATGAAGATCATATTGGAAAACTGAGGGCAGATTCCGGGAAGAATTCAAAAATCATTAAAGAGCCCTCATCCATCTTGATATATGTTTGCAAACAACACATAAACAACTTCATCTCATGGCACATGAAATGCAAAAACAGTTCTATAGTGGGTTTTCTTTTGGTCATCCTTCAAGTGTAATTAGATCCAGCTGTTTGAAAGCCATAGCTTCCAGCATTCGACCCCAAGGCCTTCCCTGCCCGATGGGTCCTTATCAGGGCGGGCCTGCTGGACCCCACCCATCCACGAATTCATGCACTGGGCCTCTAGTTCAGAAAAAAAAATTCCAGTAATTATATAGATTAATCATAATGTAATTTATTGTCCTTTGATGGTTAGATATTTAAATGTTTTTACTGTTATATGTGGTTGCTTGATGAGGCTTACTCAATAAATATCGATCTGCATTTCTATTTTAATTAGAACATATTTTTAGAAATAAACAAATCAAAGTAGAAAGATTTTTAAAGGCTTTTGAAATATATAAAGCAATTATTGTGTGCAACAAATATACATCAAAATGATCTCCTTAGGAAGGTGTGTAACAATTTCTGTCTTCATTATCATTGAGTATTAAAATTTTTATGAGTGGCACATATTTAATGCTCAAAACAGACTTAAATTTTGCTCTAAATTTTCAAAAGAAAAAAGAAATGGGATAAAAGTAGATGACTCAATGATGTTTTATTTATTTATTTATTTATTTTTTTCTTTCATATTTTCTTTGTATTTCTCTTCAATAATTGCTTGACCCAACATCTTTCTGTCTGCTCTATACAATGAAAATACAAACTAAAGGAGAATAGAAAAAAATAATTAAAGCATTAAATTGTACAAATTACAAATCTGTTCCAAAATATACTTACATTAAATAAAATACGCATTTCAGTAAGAGATCTACAGTGAATGACTGCATTCTGGGAAGCCTCAGACACTGAGGCAGGGCTGACATTCGTGGGAGGAGATAAGAGACTGTGCATCCAATCACAGTTTGCAGCGGGCTTGGGACCGCCCACCTGCCAGTTCTTGGCAGGTCATTGGCATTGCTGTGCAGGGAAGTGATTTGGGGGAAGGTAAGAAGCAAGCTCCGATTCTGAGTTCATTACAACTTCTCAAGCATTTCCTCAGCCTATACAGTACAGGTTCACAAAGTAAACATGTTAAGGTAAGCAGACAACTCTTTAGAGCCCAAACTCATTTTCTGGCTGTATTTATGCGGAACTCTCTGTCTACAATGGGCAGTCATGAAGAGGTTCCTCCGCAGGCCATGTCACAGGACCCAGCAGAGCCAGTGGGTCTGCTGGAGCGCGAGGACTGGGATGGAGGCCCCCTCGAGAGCTGAAGATGACCCTCTAGCACAGTCCACGCTGCAGGCGCCCCTCCTATCATCTGGCGTACCGCTTAATGTAGTCTTCCACTTTGTTCCGGAAGTCCTCCTTGTCCCTCAGGTGATGCTCTGCAGCCTCGATATTCAGTGGGTCATCGAAGTTCAGAAGAACCCTGTACTTTGTTCAACATGGTGATGAATAGCTGAAGGGGGGATCATGTTTATATGTAACTGTCCAAAATGTGGTGGAAATGGGGGTAACAGCCATCACATTAATTTCTAATGCTACTGGTAAAGTAAACAAAGAGTTTAATCCCCAAACAACATCCTTTAATGTCCTCGTGGGGGCCCAGCCAGTGCCATCGATCGAATGTTCCCTCAGTAAACTCAGACATATCTCGCCCGTCTCTGTGATGTTGGGGTGCCAGATCCTGGTCAAGCATCTCACTTTGGGTGGCACCATGTTGTATGCATCAGGAACTTCCGTTTCAAACTGAAATTTTCCACCCTGGTAGTAACCCTCATCTGGGCTTACAGTTAGCTGAAAGCAATGAAGCTTGTTTGGATCAGGAAAATGCACTTTACATGTACAAGGTAAGTTAGCTTCAAGTTCTGCAACCTCTTTAACGAGCAGTCTGTCTCTCACAGACACCCTCCGCGTGGAGTCAGAGGCTGTGGCTGACGTCCGGGACCCTTTGAGACCATCATCCCGCTTCAGTTTGCTCGCCAGCGTCAGCGTTACTGCTGCCTTTACCCTGGACACCTCGAGACAGGCGAGGCGGGACCGGCGCCCAACACCATGCCCGGCCGGCCAGCGGCCGCGAGACGCGGCCCCTCACAGCCGCACCAGCTCCGGGCGGCCTCAATGATGTTTTAAAGAAAAAACATAAATAACTTCCACTTTCTACCAAAACAACTCCACTTTCTCCTCCTTGCCTTTTCTTTCAGTTTTGAAGTAACAAACTGAAATCTGGGGAGCGACTCTGACCCAGAGAAAATAACTTTCAAACAATGCAGTTTTGGCAGATGTTTTATTTTTATTCTGCCATTGCAAGGCCTCAATGATACACTACTGAATCTTGCATTTTTCTTTATAACACTGAAAAATAAAATGTATCAAATGGACTATAAGTGCAGTCTTATAAAGAAAAGAAACTATATGGAATTGACACTTTTGTTCTCAGCGTATCTGTCACTGGTGTTATTTTGAGCCATAAATCTATTTTCTCTACACAAGAGCAAGCTGCTTTTGCTGCTGGAGGAACTAAAGAGTCAGGATAGTGATAGCGGAGTGAGTTGATTTCTCTACTCCCTTGCACATCATGAACTAAATTGTCAATGAAGTGATTCCTAAGAAGCTTTATCATTAGTCCCTGTGTGAGAAGCAGAAGGAACAGCTTCGTTTCTAGGGTCCCAGACTGAGTCTGTAGTTTTGTCAGTTATTGAAATCACCTTTTTCTTATAAATGTGAAGAGTTACTATAAAAGTCTTTGAAAAAAGAATAAATACAAAACCCTACAATCATATTTTTACGGAAGTACTTTCCTGACTTTAACTGCACTTGGAGAAATACTCTTTTTTCTTCCATCACACTAATATTGTGTATGTGTCTTCAGGTTTTTTCCATCAGTTCTTGCGTTGGCCTGAATGTTGAATACTAATGGTGGGTAATACATGTTGCAGCCTCAAGAACTGTATTTCTCAATATTATAGATTTGTGTGTTCTGAATCTATTTATCATATGCTTTTTCAAGTAAAATTTAGTAAAACTATATCAAATAAATATTTGTAGATTTTTTCAGTTTTTTTTTAATTAGAGGCCTGGTGCACAAAAATTTGTGTACTCGGCAGGGGGGTTCCCTCAGCCCAGCCTGTGCCCTCTCGTAGTCTGGGACTCCTTGGGGGATAACTACATGCTGGCTTATCCACGGGAGGCCCCTATGGTGGCAGGGCGGGCAGCGACTCATGCTGTCCAGCCCCGCAGCCCCGGGTCACACAGGGGAGGCCCGGATGGCAGCTCACGCTGTCCCACCCCACCTGCAGTATGCTAATTTAACAGCCATCTTTGTTGGATTAATTTGCATACTCTTCTTATTGGCTGATGGCCTTAGTGAAGGTACGGTCAATTAGCATCTTTGTCTTTTATTAGTGTAGATATATATTTATTTATTAATTTCAGAGAGGAACATAAAGGGAGAGAGAGATAGAAACATTCATGATGAGAGAGAATCATGGATCGGCTGCCTCCTGAAAGTCCCCCACTGGGGATCAAGCCCACAATCCCAGGCATGTGCCCTTGACCAGAATCGAACCTGGAACATTTCAGTTCTCAGGCCGATGCTCTATCCACTGAGCCAAACCAGCAAGGGCCAGAGTTTTTTTTATTATGTTGATCAGATCAATAAGGAAGTATGGCAAATTTCCTTCAGTGATTTAGTTCCTGAATTTCCTTCCATCTACTAAAAGAGGCAATAAATATAGTGACTCAAACTTCATTCCCTAAAGCTGCTTCTTTATTTTTATATAAATACTTTGTTTTAAAAGTTCAGAATGACTCTGTTTGCCTATTCTTAATCTATACAAATCTGAACTATGACTAAAAACACTAACATATTTGTGTTTTTGTGTTCCAGAAAACAACCAAATGTATATTTTGGGGAAAAAAAAAATTCATGACGTCTCATCCACAAATTTAAAGTAATTATTTAAAGATAATTACTAACTATTAATTAAGTCATAGTCTGAGCTATATGTTGAAAATCAACATGAAACCAATTTTGACCCTCAAGTAATTTATATTCCACCAAATATTATCCACCAAATATTAAGGTGGATACATTTCATTGTGAAATGTTTAATGATTCTAATGCTTATGAAACAAAGTGGGGGAGAAGAACACCCATAAGATATTAAAGTTGTAAAAAAATATTGCAATAATGTAACATAATGCCGGGAGCCAGTCCATCCTTGCTGTTTCAAGGGACCTGGCATATATGGCATACTGTTCTTAATATGTTTGCTCACCTTCTTGGCACTATGTGTTTTAACCAAGGTCTCTGAGAAAGGTTGTTTCCCCAGGTAGGGATTTTCCCCTGAAGTTAGGGAGGGAATAAAACCTCTTAACTAAGTGCCAGGCGGATAATTAATCACTTTAACTACGAACAATCATGCTTAAGCTACATAATCTTTACTCCCTGGAATGGAGATAAGAAACGCCCTAATAGAGATTGATAGGATTGGAATCAACTGGTATAAACACAGATGTAACAACACAGAACTCAGAAGACAGAACCAGGAGGCACAGAACCTACACAGAACGTTCTCTAGAGACAGAAGAACTTTGCTGGGGAGAACATGGCAAAAGATCCTGGAGTGAACCTGACTATAGAAATTGGCAAGAGAACCTGACTAGAACCTGGTGACCGAACCTGGTTGGAGAACCTGGACAGAACCTGGCTGGAGAACCTGGAGAACCTAGCAAGAGAACATGGACACAGAACCTGGCTGGAGATCCGAAGCAGAACCTCTCTGGAGATCCAGACCAGAACTTGGCTGGAGATCCTGGCTAGGCTGCTGATCAACTGAACACTGTCTCCATCAACTGAACACTGTCTCCGTGTCCTTCCTTCTTCGCCGACTCCGTCTACGCCTTTGGGAACCCCTGGACCTGCTGGGGTGGGACCCCAGCAACATAAGCAATGACTTTTAGCTTTATCGCCACAAGAAAACCATGTTAAATAATAAACTTCTGTAGGGCTAAGTGCATGGAAACCTTGGATATCAGGATTTCAGCTTTGACAAAATAATAAATGCAATTGTCCATATGTTGTGCCCTACAGGAGAATCCTGTCATGTCCCAAGTCCAAAATCTACTAGTGTCAAATGTTTGTGACAAAAGATCTTAGTCTTTTTAATGTCATTATTTACCATTCCCATCCCTTCTACCCCACCTCGCCTGCCCCCAGTACTTTTACTTTATTGTTTGTAACTTCATTCCTCAGACACACAATGCATTTTTATATCACCATGCTCTAATTGGCACAAAAGTTAGACATGAGAAATCCCCCAAGCACCAGTAAAAGAGGGGAATACAATTGATCCTGAGATTAAACTATAAAATCAATATGTAAAAAAGGGAATTCAATTTAAAAGGACTGTAAGCCTATATAGGGCCAGCAGGATTTTACTCAAAAGGATTAAATATATTAACATATCTAAAGAAAGAATATAGGAAATCTAAGGAACCAAGAGAATCTGAATGAGCCTGAAATTGGAGAGGGATATGAATGAGTTTAGAAAGTATCAGAAAAAGGACAAACAAGGGAAATAATCATTTAGAGCAGCGGTTCTCAACCTGTGGGTCATGACCAACGGAAAACACATATAGCATATCAGATATTTACATTATGATTCATAACAGTAGCAAAATTACAGTTATGAAGTAGCAACAAAAATAATTTTATGGTTGGGGGTAACCACAACATGAGGAACTGTATTAAAGGGTTGCGGCATTAGAAAGGTTGAGAACCACTGATTTAGAGCATCTACCAGACTAAAAAAAATCTGCTATACAAATCACACATCCAGGTATGTATAGGTATACACTTATAAACACACACACATACATCTATGCATGTATGTATGTATGTATGTATGCATTCATCCTTTTACCTATCATCTATCTGTCCAAGCTTCTATACTTTCATACACATAAAGTTGCTAGATATCATCTCTAAATTAGATCATCCGCCATTCCAAGATGGGTGGGATAGAGCCAGGGATTTGTTTTATGGGCTTAGACAGTGATGAATTCATCAAGAGCTTGCATGCTTCCTCTTCCAGTATGCGTCACTTCCAAAGCCTCTACAGGCATTATTCCTTTTTGTGGACTTACCTTTCCACACATCCTCATCTGTAATCTACTCAAATTTCACAAGTTTTGTCAAAAATGTCACCTTTTATGAAGATTTTTGTTTATTTGCTTTCTTAAAGCTTCAAAAATTTCTCATAAATTCTACCACAGACTGTTTTAATTCATTGCTTATATGTGTACCTTCCACTAGCATGTAGTTGGTCTTTCTGTTGACAAGCACACTGACAAGCACACTGTACACAATCAATAAATGAGTGACTCAAAGGTCTCAAGTTCGATTCTGGTCAAGGGCATGTACTTTGGTTGCGGGCACATCCCCAGTAGGGAGTGTGCAGGAAGCAGCTGATCGATGTTTCTCTCTCATCGATGTTTCTAACGCTCTATCCCTCTCCCTTCCTCTCTGTAAAAAATCAATAAAATCAATCAATCAATCAATAAATAAATAAATAAGTGAGCGACTGCCCAGTGTTGAATGAATGCATGAATGCATGGATAATGAATGAATGCATTAGGGATAGTTCTCACTACTTACTATGTCCTTTCTTTTGCCTATAAAAATCTTACCAAGATAATTTAATCTATGTACACTGATAGTGACATTATCTGGGATTAGCTCAAAATTACGATTTTTCACCATATATTTTACCTTATATTAACATAATTACTATTGACATTCATATTTGCTCTAGTTTCTTTACCTATCGTTGGGAAGATAGAGAATCAGCAATTTTGGGCATGTAATTTGGAAGCTTTTTTGAATAGAATCTTTTCCTAAGCCTGCTTGTATATACAGTGTTACCTACCAATAACTAAGGTATGCCATTTCTCAGAGTATTTGTGTATCTTGGAATGAATCATTTCACTAAATGTACCACAAATCACTGAGATATTTTATGGATGTCGTCAAGAGCCAACATCTCAAACAGTAATTTATCCATGGAAAAAATTGGGGTAAATATTT